CAACGGATAAAAACAACACCTAAGAATGAGACAAAATGCCAGTTTATTTGATTTTCATTTCATTTTTGGGACCAAAGTCAGGCTCAGGGCTACCTAATACCTGCCTTTTCAGCTGGATTTTCAGTGTCAAATACTTTGTAGAGTATCTCAGACCACATCTCAGGACTCAAGGCCAGTTCCCAAACAATGTGTTTTGTGGTGTTTTGATTTTGCCTTTTCCTCTAGGGAACGTTGTCATGAACATTTATTTATTTTGTTGTATTTTACCTATTACATACCATTAGACTTGCTGATTGATCGAGCTTTTGCAGCATGAATAAGTATTGGTATTCTTCCATTTATTGACCACAGTAGATTCTTGACAATCCTAATTATAACGAAACCTGTGAATCGCTGAGGTCCATGTGTTATCCCTACCCTTAGCAATGTAACTTCTACCACAAAATGTATTTTGCAGTGGCTAATATTGCTGCTATTATAATTTGATAGCCTCTTAGTGCCCAAAGTTTAAACCATATGCTGATATTTTCTATTTTTGTGCAAAATCAAAAATACCGGCATGCTACCGGCAGGACATGCCAGATACCACGAAAAAACCTGCGGTAGTGAAAATTTACCGGCATGCCGGTAGTGCGGTAGGGAAACTTTGCAACTCTACTTAACAACCAACTTCAAAATTTGACCTCACTTGACCTGACCTTGACCTGACCTCGACCTGAAATTCATCCAGAGGTGGTCCATATCACTTATTGAGTGTGCCTATTGAATTCTATGAGTAAAATGACCCATAAAACGTGTCGCACATGCCCTTTTCTATATTTTGTTTTTTGGTGACCTGACCTGACCTGACCTTGACCTTGACCTCTGAATGATATTGTATGCAACGAATATTGTCTTGGCAGCCTATGAACACGTTTTGGGCAATCAGTCTCAGTCCATGACTCCATTCTTCGGCAACTACGGTGCAAGGCCGATACTGTAGAAACTTGCAATTTGTACCCTTGACCTGACCTTGACCTTGACCTCAAACTTTAAATTAAGTACATGTTTTAAGTTGTTCGTGATGAGAGCTTTCGATTGGCGTTTGAAGTTTCCAAATCGGACCATTAGTTCGGGAGATAACAGGGGGGGGGGTAAAATTTACCCCCCCCCCCCAGCCCCGCGCGTTCGGCTGGAGACCCCAGCCCCGCGCGGGTTAATAAGCCAAACACTACGCCATCGTTGGTCTGGTGCTGAGGCGTCCTATAATGGCTGCCATGTTTCTTCTGGGCCATTTTAAGCCACTTTTGTGTGCTGTCCTGTGGGCTATTGTATTTTTTCGTCTGATCTATTATTCATCCTGCCGAGCAGATAACTGGTCAGGGAGACCATTACCAGACCCAACAGAAGAAACAACAGTCCTTGATCGGTAAATAATGCAAATACGCCGCTCCCAGCTCACATGTGACAACAGCCACGTATTTATAAATGTCGTGTTGTCGTGCTCTTCGCTCGTCGGACAGCCAACATGGCGAACACAAACGTGACATTTGGGACGGGGCGCCTTCGTTTGTTTGCTTGGATCGTCCACTTATGTCCACACTGCCTGAAAACAGCTTATAGTCGACCATCTGGAGATTTGGCGATTGCCTTGTTTGCGTATCCTTTACAAGTCGTCTTTGACAGTAGGTATGTGATGTCACGCTTCAGTTATAGCACGTTAATGACTAAGAACCCTAAAAAATGTATGAATTGATAGGTCATACTAAGTTTGCTTCCGTGCTCATTACTCACTGACGGAAAAAAGTATATCTATTAGAGCCTGTCATGTCTTTTTGCTTTGTTGAACGTTTTTTGTTTATTCTAAAACATCGGATAAGGTGCACTAATTTTCAAATATTCTTTTATATAAAACTGTTCTGTATACCTATTTCATATCAGGACTTGCTACCCAGTACTTACACACATCCATTGACCTCACTAACGATGTGGCTCAGAGTTTTAAATGTTATGATACCTGCCGGCTGCCTACCTGATTTAATTGCATTGAAAACGCGGGATATAAGGCATCTGCGTCGCCGTAACTTATCTGTTGGCCATCTTTTTACGCCTGTCCACCCAATCTATGTCATCAGACGAGCCGCTTGTCTGGGGAACATCTCGGTGTGCCGCTAAGCGCGTGGTATCCTCTTCGTTAGCCCATTATTTACCGGCACCGACAACTAGGGGCGTGGACAAAATACGGCCGAACGAAGAGGTGCAAATTGACACCACTTATCCACAGTGCATGTAATAGTACATAGATAATGCCCTCATCTGGATGTGCTTCCGCTTACCTCAGGAAGGCTTGTTCACATAAATTATTCCTAGCACAAAGTCGAAACTATTCTTCGTTAGGATTTATGATTAATGAGCTCTGCATCGGCCGTATGTGGGTTGACATTATCCTCAAACTGGCATCTCTGTCGGGTCCCCATGCCACACCGGCCAGGCTGGTGACACCTGTGAATACCGTGGAGATGGTATCAGAACACTGGCCGGCAGTTGGGTACTAATTTACCGACCAGTTAGGCGTGCTGACACGGCAGTTGATCAACGTCAACTGGAACTGACACCGCCGAGAGTCAACTGCAACTGTGATCGTGTCGGTAGCCAGTCAATACGAACTCGAGTTGACACAATGGCGGGTCAACGTCACTGCAGCTGACACAAATCGAGAATCACCTTCGTGCTATTCTACGGACATTTTCAGTTACATCCATGCGCGAATACCTTCCAAGTAGCTATGGATGTTATGTGTAGAATACGATACTGTAAAAAGATGGGTCTAGAAAACGACATACCTTCGATGGCAGAAACGATATAGATGCATGTATATAACGTGTCTCATTTGTATTACACGAATCAATGAAACATAGGCAACGGCAATTTTTTGTGCACAAGGATCGTCTTTTTTCTGGAAACCCATGAGCCGTATCTTCGTAACACGAGGTCTGGGACTGCGGACTAAATCTCGACCACACGGCGACTCTCCCATGGTCGCCAATGTCGGTATATCACGCCAGAGAGCGATAAATTTCCCCGGAAGAAAGGTTTGATTCAGACTTGGCTGACTGAGCATGAAATCAAATCACTTCTCAGCGGCGAGCAATGACGCCTGTGCGTGAGCAGACGACGGGATAAGGCCACTAAATTCGGCCAGGGTGGCCATCAAAAATGCATTCATGGATGCCTCTGTCTAGAGTCAATCGCTCGCCACGCACGAATCAGCACTTGTTCCATATTATATGTCTAGTATTTCATTAAATATTTTATTTTTCGTCTTTTGCGGCACAACTATGCAAGACAAACATATAACTTAGACGGTACTGACATGAAAAGGGTGGCCAAACACGTCCAATGCGGAAACGATGCATTTCCCGAAAATGTCGTTTCTTTGCACCTATGCAATCTCACTCAGCCTGTTCCGTCATCTCATAGACATAGACATTTTATTGCCGCACGCGGTCGACCTTCCTTGACATATGTTCCCTGAACGACACATTACAGATGCAGCCATCGCCATTGACGGCTACAAATTAATAACCAATGCGCTCTGGACGCGTCACGAATGACTTTATCTCTGTCTCAGGGTGAAGCCAATGTTTTGCCTGTTGTTTTATGACTCACAACTCGGCTTCATTGTATTCAAATCACTTTGGAGGGTGGATGCGATCGTGGCATCTTCTGCGTTGATGTGGCACATAACTCCTGTCACCTCGACAGCCAGTGTCAGATGGCCACACACGGTCAGCCTATGGTCATAGGTCGTACTGAGAGCCCGGTTCGGGAGAAGCCTTCCCATGTGTTCTCTAAATAAAGATTGTTTGAGAAAAATCACTTTATTATTCGTAGAGTATTTCAATAACAATACGTTGATGGTTAAGCACCAAAATTAGAAGATGCATCATATTTGAAGTTTTCCTTGTCCAATTGAAGTATCTATAGAACACTGCACACTGTTCAAAATTAGAAGATGCCTTACTTGAAGTTTTCATTGTGCAATTGAAGTATCTATAGAACATTGGGATATTAAATATCCAGCAGCCAGAAAGGCAGATAATTGCCATGCACGTTTCGCTTTGCACGTATTGGACATACTCCCCCAATATAGGCATAATGGAGACCATTCAACAATATCTCACTGTCTCACGTTAAAGTCGGGTCGAATTTAACGAGCCATTCGTTTGCTAGATACACGCATTTATAATTGTTATCACAGGCTAATACTCGTAACACAATTAGAAACAATGCCCAGATGGGGCATGCATAGATCAAATGCACATATAGATCCTTTCTTTCACCTAAAGTATAGGCAGTTACATGCTCTGTGGGCATGTTCAATCCGTAAAACACGGTAAAGCGCAACAACCCCTTTGATCAAAATGCCGTAAACTTTTAATTGTCATGCGACTCGCGAGATAAAAGCTCGGCGGGCCTTCACTACGCTGAGGGGCAGGCGAGGCGCATACACACAGCCTTTATTAGGAGTCCTCGAGCATGAAATGTGTCCAATATACCTACAGTGTGATGTTCAACCTCTCAGGCATGTGGAGATAGCAGAGGATGACAGAGAGAAGGGGAGTTATGGGGCAAGAGTAAGATTCAGTAATAAGATTAAATAAATTATTTGTGAGCATGAAACGCAGACAGCTGGGTATAGGATGAATTTATATCATACCCGACATCTGAATCGATTTCAATTCGACGATATTGAAAAGGCAGTAGTGTCTTTAGTGATGAGAGGCTTTATGCGTCTTTCCTATTTGCATGCCAGTTTTAATGGATCAATCGTTTGTGCACCGTTTTTCTAACTGAAGACATCGAATCAACCAGTGACATAGCTGAGCGAGTGCAGTGGCTTGCCTGCCCTCACACAGCGGCTGGGCCACGCATGCTGAGCAAACTGGGGCGGGGGCGGGGGCGGTTTCGCCGCCGCCGCCGCCGCCGCCGCCGCCGCCGCCGCCGCGGACGGGCACCTCAGTCTTGTACGGTGTGCCGCGGCGTCCGCAGTCGCGCGGGGAGGGTCGGGAAGGTTTGCGACAGTGCGAGAGGCCGAGGCACTGCTGAGGACCCAGCAGGGCACGGAGAGAGTGGTGGACAGTGTCGACGAGAGTGGTACGGAAGAGAAGAGACAGAGCTGGTGGGTGAGCCGCAGCGGTGCCGCGTCTGGTGGTCGAAATAAGTAGAAAGTAATTGATTCTAATTGCTGGTCCAAAATTATGTGTGGTATGCAAACATGATGCTCAATATGACAGGCACTTGGAGAAAGTTATAAAAGCGTCCTTCAGTTTTATCCAAATTGCAACGACCTAGGTGATGGGAAGCATGTGTTTCTGCGCGGGCCAATCTATTTCCTCAAGCCATGGGAGGTGGGAGCGTATCTTGGAAGAGGACTAAGTCGAACCATTGAGTATACTGCAAATATTTTGTTCCCTTTGTTGCTTCAGATATTGCGAACTCACCCCATGTAATGTGACAAATGGGTGAAAAACCTTTTTAGAGTCATTATGAAATTCGATCATATATAATCCGCCCTCGTAAAATATAAATCTACACTGCAATGTGTCGAAAAGCTATCCCAAATAATTTTCATCCCTGATATCTACGACCTTGTACCATTTGCATGTTTATGTTTGGAGATACCTACAGTGCAATGTGCATAAGAAGAGCACAGATAAAAACACTATTTGATGGGGAAACCCACACCACTTTAAAAAAGCTATTAGCTAACGTTGATCTTTCCATGCCAAACACATCAAAGCTGCACCCATGAATTAACTTAAACGTTTTTGACAATTTTCACTGCCAACCCATATCCTGTATCTTTATGTATTTACCACTGTTCTAAGTTGGGGAATTATTTTGTTCGAGCGACTTAAACTTTTTAAATTGTACATTTTAATTTAAAGCTATAGTCTGACAAACTTCAGAATTTAAAAAGAACGGATTTAAAGCGTGAGATCCGTTGATGCACGTACCTTTTGTTGCCTTACATCTATACGAGAACATTCCTCTCACTTTTTTTCACATAAACTTTCTCAGAACCATATAATTCACGTGCAAAGTGACCCAGGTGCCTTAACTCCGTTCTTCCTAAGGTTTGTTAAGGTTTGTTAGACTAAAGGTACTTTTTCGTGAGTGAAGGTTGTAACTAAGAATAGTTATGAGCGTATCATATTTGACAGACTAATGTTATTTATGAATTCAAATGCGACTGCCCATCCATATAGCTGTGTCGCTTTACATATTGCCAAGGGAAAAGCATTATTTAGGCGTAGAAATTGCATTAAAAAGAAGGTAACTATAATGCAAAATATTGTTGTTTTTTAATTGCTGTTTTTTATTTAAACTCAACATCTATAGCCTGTTATGTCATCGTCTTAAGTCATTCGACAGCACCTTCGCAGCAGTTCGTCATTTTCATCCCTCACTTAGCTATGGACAGCTGTATCGTAAATGAGCGTCACATCACTTTTTTTTTCGACGGAGTAGTTTTTTTTCTACACCGCCACCCATGAACAGGTGACCAGGAGTGCCCCCTCCCTCTATCCCAGCGACACACAGAACCTTACGTTAACACCAGTGAACTTAAAATGATAAGTCGCGGCACTCCCAGCTAAGAGTAAGGAAAAAACAAAAAAAATGCAAAAAAACGAGAGAAATATCAGTGGAGTATGCATGCTGTTAATATAGTAGCTTAAGAGAAGCAAAGTAGTCACAACTGAAAACAGTTGGTGACTGCCCTTCTACGCCTGAAACGCCCACTGATGCACACTTACACAGGGTATTGTTAGTGGGAGGAAGGGGAGGGGGAGCAGTCATACATACATGGAAGATGGTCGTAGATGGTCATTTCTGGTCAAATTCAAGCAAGGTCATTCACTGAGCCTCTGTAAAGCTGTCCAACTAAGCAGAGCTTGTTGTCAGACAGCCCACAGAGGCCAGTTCCGAGGTGGTTGGAGTAGAAAATTAATGCAATTTAAGCAATATAACGAAAATGAGAGGTAACATCAACGAGAAAAAAAAAACGGAGAAGGAATACAGTTGGGAAGGAAAGACGGTCAAGAGAACTACTACCCTACAATAAACGTGGTTTTTATGTTTGACGGCCAGACGGACCGCGAGCCCCCGCCCGCACCCCCGGAAAATCATCTTTCCCGGGGGTGCCCCCTAACCACCGCCCGGGCGAGGGGAGCGCCGACCCGACACTTCAATAAACAGTCGCGACATTGAGAAAGACTCGAAAAGAAGACGGAAACAAATCCCGAATATAAAGTCCGGTGTTACAGTGACACCCGCCTCTGTAACAAGTAACTATCAGATCAGAAGTCTTACTCATCTCCGAAATATGTCCATCTGTTCCACCGAACGTCACATAAAGTACGTTGGAACGCGCTGTTTGTTTTATCACCAATAATTCACTGCGAACAACATATCATGTCTAATCGGTGCACGGGCCAGCAGCGCGGGGGATCTCCACCAATCAAATCGCGTGTCGCACACTGATCAGCAGCCGTAACCAATCAAATGCGCTGATTTACACAGCACGTCACACGAGGCTCGTGCCAAAATGCCGCAGTTTCGCGGTGCTTCCAGAGCTGTCTGCTGTCTGCGGTCAGCCAGCCAGCCTGGTGTTTGACACGGCCAAGGAGTCCTGATACGGGGACGGTCTCCAGCCGGGCCGTAAAAGTGTCGGCGCCGCTCGGCCGCCGTCGTCAGCGTCGGCAGTCGACGGCGGTCAGTCTTCTCGTTCAGTGGCGACCCCTCCCCCGCTCCGTTGTCAGGAGCTGTGGCGTTTTATGGAGGTCGTTAGATCGTGCGCGTCCTCTCATTTCCGGCGTGACCACTTCAGTCCCGTGGAAGTGCACCGCCAATCGACTCTAATGCCTGTATTGAACAATTGGGCATATAGCTAACTTCTTACCGATACAAAATGTCGTGCTCAAAAAAGCTGCTCTGCCTCGTGACTAGTGTTCACATTAGTATTCATCTTTCTGTGTCCGGGGTACATTATCCGAGTTATCTTCACACCATTTTGTCAGCGATAATTTTTCTCACACCACATAATTAGCGCTCGTAAATCCGCAACGTAACACTGCTACACTGCTCTCTATATGTCATAAACAAATCACCCAAACACCCCGAAACCGACATGGTACACCGGCACTGCGCTAAAATTCGTGATAAATGGCGGCTCACACCAGACCGCAGTGTTGCAATTAACACCTGGGGTGTGCAAATCATGACGTGACATCACCCTTAGCGGCACATGTGAGGAATGGGATCCTAGATGAAGGCTCTTCGTTTGACCAAGAGTCTGGCTAGCATGTGGCCAATGTTAAAGTTAGCCTACCACATTTACACATAACTGTAATGAATGCTCAATGTATCCCTCTATAACTCTTTATTCCCGGACTGTGCTTGACAATGAACAAGAATCGTTTGGCCTGGAAGAGCTATGCGGCATTATACAGCTCAAAGCGCCTCAAAGTGCAGAAAATTATTGAGAAGTGCGTTGTTGATGCATTGATTCATGTTATCTATACGTTGAGTTAAAGAGGGATAGTTTAGCAACACTGGATCGCCAATTATCCAAATGCGCAATGATAAGTTTCAATAAAAAGGTGATTGTGGCAGTTCTTGAGCTCTCCGTTTCTGCCGAAATCAAATCTTCTGGATTCTACACCAGGCTCTCATCAGCAGGGGTTTTAGCTGCCAAGACATGGCGCACTAAGCCAGCGGTGGCCAGGTCACGTGCCAGCCCTGCTCCTACACCTGCCTTTCCAGCCTGGCGACACCGGTACCCGTCTCAAACCCTCCTCGTGCCACCCCGTCCCTCTGTCCAGAGGTCGTCGGAGAGACGTTGCCGACCAGATGGTGGCCCTGGCGACCGCACGCGCTTTTTTGGCGCGAAAAAAGCGCGCGCACGTGGGCCGCGCAGGACGTCCACTCTGCATGACAAACCGAGGTCGTCGCGCGGCACCTCTGGAACTTGTCCACCTCCATCTGAGAAGCGGGGTCATCTTGCTCGCCCAGCTCTGTCTGGGGAGAGGAGAGGAGCATGTGTCTCCTCCTTCACTCTTTCACCCACACACAGCGCTTTTTATACACAGTAAACACAGATACATTTGCAAGTCGCAAGTTAGGTTTTTGTGCTTCTTCATTCGCTCATTTGTTACTTTCATTCTTTTGCTTTCACTGACTACGTCTCTCCATTTCTCAGTGTCGTGGTCTTTTTCCTTTATCATCTGTTCTATTCACCCTTTAGCATCCTCAGACTTGCATCTCTATCATTGTCATGTCCGTATTTGCATGCTCCATGACATAATTCGCTACAGTGTCTCCATTACTGCGATTACAATGGACTATATCAATAAAAGTCCTGCCCGAGCGCGGTAGGGTACTTGTTATTCCTCTTGCAGTAGTACGATTTATGGCGCAACAAAGTACCTTACGATTCTTAGAATAGCGTTAGGTCACCTGCAAATTAATTTGCAATTAAACTTGCTTCAGCGAACATGTTATAGCTTATAATTGAGTTTTGTCAGACATCCAGCCCTCAATTTCTCATTTCGGAAAAGTTGAGCCATCAGAAGGCCCGGTCCGGAAGGAAGGTCCGGGTCCGGTGATTCGGTCCACGTCATTGTCGTGTCTTCATGCTCAGTATCTAAGTATGTGATACATCTGCAACGATCAGAATCAGAAGAAACTGAGGTAGTCTGCCCTTACCAGTCGGTCAGGCCTGACGACTCTTCGGTGCACACTATTCGGCACCCTTCGGTCCGCACTATAAATGATTAATTTAAATATCCTCTCGTTTATAATCATTCCAGCAGACAGGCTCACGTCTGCAGGGTATCATTCATGCATCAATTGATACGGATTACGGTCGCATGATGCCGGAAACTGTCATAGTTTTCCTGACTATCTCGTGCATCCCCACTCGCCGCTCGCTCCCCCCCCCCCCCATTCGTTTACTCATCACACCCTCGCCGTGATTCGACCCGGTATCCCGCTGTGACGATTGTGCCGAGTCAGTCTCACCTCGGTGTGAGATATACCGCTCTCGATCGGCGGGTCCGGTCTCACCGCCGCGCTGCACTGGGGCGGTATCACCTCTGCCGTGATACCCACTGCGCTGCGCGGGCTCACCACGGGCGGCGGGCGGGCGGCCCGCTGGGTCCAACGGCAGAGGGTAACGCTGATGCGATGGTAACGCTGGTAACGCTGATGAGCGCCAGCTTTACGAGCAGCCACTGTCGGAATTCGACCCGGAATGGACGCCAACGACCGCCGTGGTCTCAATTGTTACCGGAGACGTGGGCGAACTGATGCCCACACGCTCTGGGCGAAATTAATGATGGGATATTTTGCCGGGACATTTGAAGACTGTGCTAAATGGTTCCTAATCCTCTTGACTTATTGGTGATTTCTAAAATACTTTGATTGATCCATTTTTGTCTCGCCCTGAGATAACGCAACCCTGCTACTTTATCTTAAATTAAAATCGAGGTATCTCACTTTAACCAAAACTCCGTTACGCCCATCAATTGCGATAGTTTTCGTTACGATGCTAGTCTTATTTGCCATAAGTGCACCAGCAAACATTGTCGTCCAAGCCTACCACTCGCCGCCCGCCACCTGCTCTGCCACCTTCATATCGCCCCAGGCGGTCTGGGTGTACTTCGGGCACACCCAGAACGCGTTTGTGGCAGCAGCTTGCCGCCCCCTCCCCCGCCTCCGCCCCCGTCTGGCGTGTCGCCTTCTAGTATGCCACCGCACGCCCCAGCTCGCACAAATCCGGGTCTAAATAGGGACGTTTGTAAATCTGACTGCCGGTCGCGCGAACAGGAAAACACGCAGAAAGGCCGCCAGGGAAGGATAGAACAAATAGCAAATGGGAGCAGATGTGGAATTGCAGAAACGTATAGACGGCCGTAAAGGTACTGCAGAGTACCAGATGAGTGATTTGCTTTATAGTTTCAAGTACTGCGTTGCCCCGATGGGAAAACGATTTTATTCTCATCAGCTACTCGATCAGTTAGTGCCGCGTCTGCAGTCTCTCCCGCTCCCCATCCAATCGCTGCTGTCCGAACGTCGTGACAGGCCCGGGATCTCTCAGCACGCGATACGCAGCTCTGAGTGGACAAGCCACCCAGCCAGGATCAGATGGGAAGCCACGGACACGACCCCTGGGGGAGCGCTCGTGACCTGAGGTCGGCCCCGCACCGCCCCGGGGCAATAAAAACACGGTTCACGCGCACGGCCGGATCTGGGGCGCTGTTGATGGGCAGTCGAAATTGATAATGGCCCGAGTTGTGACGGCATTTTAGAGAGCCGAGTGTGGAGTGGGGTTAAGACAGTTTCGCGCAGTCTAGCGATTTATTGGTGCTATCAACTCAATCATAAAACTGACCATAATTCCGTAAGATTTCGCTCATTTTAATCTTCATTTTACATTCTCAGCTTCGATAGTTCGTGTATTTATTCCCATTTCCCATCAAAATGTTGACTGCCACTCGACTCGACTCAACTATGCCACTTAAAAAAAAGTCAAACTGATTTTTTTTTCTAACTAAATTAGCCGACACCAGAAAATATCGACCTAATGCTCCAACATCAGCATAGTCATGACCACCACCATGCCTCCTCCACGGCCATGGTTTCCAGTGACCCTCCCCCAGTGTCACCATCAGACGAGTACGGCCAGCTTCAGCACTGCCGGCATCATCGCATTTGTCAGCCAATGGCTTCTGCCGAGGACAAGATGCAAATTTAGCATCCCGAGTTCCGTCTGGTCGAGATTTCACGACAATTTGTCTCTGCCGGTAACGATTGTCTGCGAGTCACGAGCAACGCGGAGCGAGCCGGAAAGCACTGAGACTCGCAAAGTTTCTATAAAAGGGAGACACAAAATGCACTAGGATACAGTTTTCATTAGCCCAATTGCGCCAAGGGAAAGTAATTGCTTCTATACAATGCAATACGGATGTAGAATTCCATGGATAATGTGGGGATGTTTGTGACGGAACCTAATTCACTAAATCACGTCTCATTATTTAGTTTGCCCAAAGGCCCGAGTCACTAGAAAAATTACAGTAATGTTTTTAGAGAGTTTCGATTCATGAGCGAATAACTAAGTCTCAAACAGTAACCTAAGCTTATTCGATAGTTACAAGTCAGTAGTCACATATCATTTGGTTTACATTGTCTGGGGTAATATTGTCCATGCCATATGCCAAGTTTTGCACTCGTGATTCACTGCGTCACAATGAAGTGAAGTACCGATGGCCACCGCCTAGACTTCCTCGTGCCCTGTGATGGATCGTGCCTCCTGGAGCGTGGTGTTTCTCCTGGATTTATTTTAGCATCGTCAAAGTTTACATCAATATCATTATCTTTACATCAATATCTTCATTGGTTTCTATTCTCGGCATTTTTTGTTCTGCGCAGCTATCAGTTCAGAGATTGATCGAGCAATATGTTCGGGTATCGACCAATCGTTTGTTTCTGACATAACCATGACAGATAACAAACAAAATGTATTCGGCACGGTGCGATGGATCATTAGGCCCCATCTCTAAAGTATCAAGCGTGCACTTACAAGGCCATTGGTGCATCTATCGCGCCAATGGCGGTTCATATTTCCTCGGTCGTGCTCCATCCCATAATGGTGTGTTCTGTAATTGCTGCGATTTGTTTTACTCCTATATTTGGTCGACAGTAGTGTTAATATTCACTGAACCGTCAGAAGTCGGCTTAGTAGCTCGTTTTCTCGTGACCATACCTACTTTTAATCTCATATCCGCGTTTGAGGGATGAGACTCCGTCGTCCAGTCACCTTAAACGGTGACAGGCGATATCACTGCTGAGAGCTGAGGATTTGTCGTACGGCATCAATAGATAATGTTCGATATTTCCAACACAGCATCACAGGCGCTTAGTTTGTGTAGAAGGTAATACTAAATTTAGAAAGAACCTTTGGATATATCACCCAACCATACAAAGCAACATGCATTAATGCATCCTTATTTGGAAACAAAACCGTGTTAGTTATCCTTTCCGCTTGTCTCTTTTTTTGATATTCTTCCTGCATACGCACCACATTCTATAGTCTACATGCACTCATACATTTAACCCATGCAGGAAATAAAGTGCCTGACTAACTGTGCGTCTAACCAGGCCAGCACAGAGCACTGAACAGCGCATGTCGCCGCGCCCGACTCGGCTGACCGGGTCAGCACATTCGCCTCATTACCGTGCAATTGGGCTCGGGAAGACCGCGATTTTTCACCGTACGAAATGGCGGCCAATTCAGCGCGTCTGCGGCAGTCGCCGGTAGTGCAGAGAGCTCCTGACGGCGGGGATAGGGCATGAGTAGTAGCAATGGCGAGTGGCGGTCTCCCTTTGAGGTCAGCCCTTAACTGCGTGCATACAGAAGCGTACGCATAGCAGCGTGCGTAGTCACACATCGACATACAAACGCAGATACGCACACAGATAGACAGAAAGACAGACAGACAGACAGACAGACAGACGGGTGAGCGGACTCTCGGCTCAGCTCTGGGACAGGGTCGTCGGCCCGTTGTCTGACGATGTCTGATCATTTATTCATTAGTCCCGTGGCGTCGAAGTCCGATTCATCACTCGGCCCCGTCCGAAACCTGTCCGCTATGGGGGAACAATGTTAAATCGCACGGCATCCCGTCGCCTGGGCCGAGGTCCCACATTGTGGCTCGTGTCGCCACCACCTCCCCGTCCTCCGCCGGGAGTCTGGAGGACGGAGGAGGCGGGGAGTAGCGACTTTGGCGCCGCTTAGGGCGGTAATGAGGTGCGAGGGTGATTAGCGTAACTACCGGGCGTGGCACCGCTGACATGGCTCACACGTGTCATCAGGTGGTGGCGCTCTGACGCTGAGGTGAGAACTGGCGAAGCTGCGATGGAGGACACTGCAGAAGAGGACTGGCCGTGGAGTGGTCTGACCTGACAAAAGGCACCTGTGAAGGGCGCAAAGCGAAGCTCGAAAGCGCGAAGTGATACTGCAGTAAGTGCAGTTAGTGACTAGAGACCCTGGATCCCGGAAAGGTGCATTTATAGATCAGCTAAGCTACACATCTAGACCTTGAACTCTCACATGATCTTCACTGACATTGGGAAGCTTCCAGCGACTTCAGCGACCCCAGGCCACAACGGGTGTCTGTGAGTGGCTTACAGTGACCTGCAGTGATCCCGGAGTCTTCCAGTGACCTTCATTGACCTCCGCTGGCCCGGTGACCTCGGCTGACCTCCGCCGACCACCATGGCAGCCACGGCGGTGCGTCCGCCGGCCCTTCACAGTCCTTCCCACCAGCGCCAGCGACTCCAGGTGAAGCGCTCGCGCTCTTTACCGCACGACGAGCTGCGCCGCCAGCTAGCGCGTAGTGAGAGCGGCATCAGCGGCGGCAAGGACTCCGGCATCGTCAGTGAGCAGCCCAGTATAGGCAGTGAGCAGGCGAGCGGGATCCACTCCGAGCTCCCCAGCGCGGCCGGTAGCGATCTGCCCAGTGATGTGGTGCGCGAAGTGCAGCGCGAGCGGGACTCTCGCGCGCGGCGTGTCACCACAGACGGAAAGACGGCCACGATTCGTCAGCACTACTACCCCGAGGGTGGCTGGGGCGTGGTGGTGGTGACCGTGGCGTGTGTGGTCCAGGTGCTCTGTCACGGCCTTCACACGGGCTACGGTGCGCTGCTGCTCTTTGTGCTGCAGGAGTTCAGGGAGCAGCGCAGCACGGCCGCAGGTGAGGAGAGGCGGGGAGGCGATGGAGAGGGAGAGGGAAGGGAAGAGAAGGCGGGGAGATGGGAAGGGACGAACAGGACATGGCGGAGGATGGGAGACGGGAGAGCGGGGACAGAGGGAGGTGTGATAATCATACTGTAGAATATGGAAAAGGAAAGCACTAGCTATACGCAGTGAAATGTCGTTTTGCTATCGGTGACAGATCATCATAAGTGAGTATGAGTATCGTCTGCGGAGCATACTACAGCTGTGGCTGCACTGGCTATCTTTCGAATTAAACGCATATATTCTTCGGTACCGTACCACTCACTTAACCAGGTACAGCTACACCTACTTATCTAAAATCAGCAATATTCACGTCACCCGACCTGCAAGTCCAGATGTATGCAGAGCTATTTATTGCATTCAATGTTCTACTCTGGGTTCATCGAGCACGTTAATGATCCATTCCTTACCTGCACTGCTGCAGCATTTGCACCAGACCTGTGCAACGCCCATGCGCATCGCACCTCAGAGCCCAGCATCCAGGAACCGGAGCGAGCCTGACTCTGACCTAACACCTCTGGACGAAACCGGATCGCTTTCTTGCGCGTCTAAAAAGCGCCGGCCGCCGAGGCGCGGTGCTTTTTTGTCGCTCCTGGTAACACCAACAGAACGGTATCTGAATATAGCCGCCGCCCGGCTCAGTCTATAGACACAGTGAGGCGATGACCGGGGCACGGAGACAGGGAGAGATGGAGACAGAGACAGTGGAGGCAGAGAGACAGACGCATAGACGGAGACAGGGGAGGGCTGATTAAGACAGAGGGAGAGGTATGGGAGACGGGGGAGAGATAAGGGAGACAAGGAGAGTTGACGGAGACAGGGGAAGCTAAAGGAGACAGGGGAGAGGAGGGGAGGGAGGCAGAGACGCTTGGAACGCCTCGATTTTTATGGGTGTAAAAATATATTTAGTTCGAGGTCTCTGAAGTTGTCCTATGTAAGGCACAATGTTATTTTCCTGTGGACCTCCCAGCTCTGAGAATGTAGTGCATATTCGCCGGCTGCCAACAAGCGTACGTGCCGGTTCAAAGGTGCCCTGTTATCGAGATGGTGCGCCGCTTTCGAAAGCTCCGGTCGACTGGCGAAGGGCGCTCGCTGGGGCGCTCGCTCTCCCGCGCTGCGATCGCGTCGGTGGCGAGCGCGAGGGAATTCGAGCCGCCGAAGGGACGATCGAGGCCGACAGAGCCGACAGGGTGTTTGTGATCGCCTGGTATTGTCTGTCCATCAATTGGGCGCGGGAAGAAAGCCGACCCGCTGTTTCAGGTGTCGGCGCCCTACTGGTACGGAGCGCTGATGAAGTAGATATGTTGATTGATTGATACCTATTCATTATTGTTACGATATGCCAAGGTGATGTGACAGGCCTGTGATAATTAAAATTCCGTTAATGATTTGGTGCTGACCTATATGACTTTTATGAGCCGTTATCTGTAGACTCAATTTGTTCTCCTGACTCACAAATGCATTGCATCTCTGTGGTCTGATGATCCTCTAATAATCACCGCAGTACATACAGTACAGTATTGCGCCTAGCGTGTGTTCCGTTCTTGTACAGATCCTTTATAACCTTCTTGCTTAGGATCTTGCCTTGCCCGTTCTTTCTCCATGCTCAGAGAGCTTCCGTTCCGCGCTGGCAGCGTTTCGTCTCTGACATTTTCGGTCGCCGACCTGCCGTAGACGGCAGCTGTTGTCGATCAGGGGCGGCGGGGCGCCGTTTAATCCTATACCAGCCCTGTGATGGGCGGATGGGCTCGGCTGGTGGCGCCGATCTGATGTAATTTGCCACCACACACCGCCGTCACCCGATCACCGCCGCCGCCGCCGCCATCGTCGTCCCCTCGGCGCCACCGCGGCTCTCGCCAAGAAGCAAAGTTTGCTTGAACGATAAGACAGTTGTATTGGTCAAATCAAATCATTACCATAGTGTAATTAATAGCATAGTTTCCGTTATTTATTACACTATGTCATCACTGTACTAACCTGAGCTGGGATCATAAGAAAATTGAAGGTTGTTTGTGAGCTGGGAAATCATTTGAGGACGCGATCCCTGCAGGATGCAGGGAAACATTGTTAGAGATATAAGATTTAAGTGATAAGTTTATGATTGAATGGTGTGAAACGTTTTTTTTTAGCATGATTATGATTATAATGGAAATCAGATGGATTAGTAACCTTTGCTCATAACTAACTTGAATTTAACTTGGATTTGTTTTTGGCTTACATTAGTTATGAGCAAAAGGTTACTAATCCATCTGATTTCCATGATAAGTTTATTACAGATAACACCAATCAGGGCTAAGCATACCCAAACTTAGTAACAGGCTGGTAGCAGTCTGTGCCCATGTGGTTAGTCTCCTGGGACGCAGTGCCATTTAACTAAAGGAGGTTGTGGCTGTGAGAGCAAAGGTCAGAGTCGTATTCCTTCAGCAGTTTCACGGTGGTGGGCGGTACCCACGTTAGGTGGGCTGAATATTAAACAGCAGGAACTAGCCTTCTTCAATGTGCCATTGTGAATCTATTGACAACTTTGACACGGACTTCCATAATTCATGTTTTCGACATGTCAACTTATTGTTGTTAATTTAGGACATCTTGGGTGGGTTTGATTGAGCAAGTCATGTGTTGAGCTATTCAAAATCAGAATCTTTTCGTTTGATTTCATATAATTTAAACATTCTGAGTGTCGAACCAAGCTATTCTAATAACTTTCGCTAAGTTAGATTTATATAATTAGCATCACATTTGCTTTGATCAACGTAACTTCACCAGTTTGATGCGACCCGACACGCAATATTGCAACAATCTTGCTGACAGACCAAACTCCAAAGAGAAACTACATAGTCGCTGCCATACTGCAGCTCCCCAGGGCCAGGTGCGGCAACTAATACAGGCTCGTCCGCCCGCGATCATAGTCGGGCATCCGGACCATGTATCTCTGCACTGCGGCCTCACCTTTCACATCGTTCACACGCCGCTCTCACATCCAAGTGACGTCACAAGACCACACCACCCCCGTGACGTCACGGCGGTATTCGGCCGGCTATTTCTAGAGCTGTTTTTCTTCGCGCCTTGAACTGAACGCACAAGAAAAAGTCTCCCAGCAATGCGAACGCAACGCTCGGACTCGGCATTGTATGTACTGGCGCCATGAAGGTGAAGAATTTTCTCCGAACGCTGCTGCGTAGCTCCCAGCGGAGCGCTCCAAGGTAGCACCCAATTACCTATCATGACTCCGCCACTCGCGGGGATTTTCGGCGAGCCAGGGAGTAGGTGATGCTATGCGCGTGAGGGGCTTTCACCGCCATACGAGTTCTGAATGAAGCGTGTGCGGGGTCCATTCAGAAAGAGGCCATTCCGGCGGGGAAGTGGGAGCCATTGGATGCTCGTGGATCCCGGGCCCCATTTCCGAGCAGCCGTAAGATTCCGACCACCCGCGACAATCACCGCCGGCCTTCGGCGGCCTGCGCATTCAAAAACCGCCAGCAGGTATAGCCAATTCTGTCAGTCTTGGAAGGAGATCGGTATTCTTCGCCTATTCTTCATTTGTCTAGGGCTCTAGCGATTTTCCTGATAATTGGAGCACAAACTAATGGGTTATCATGCTCAAATACGGCTTACCTGAGGATTTGACAAGTGTTGTTGCAACTGCTATAACTAAATTTTCGAGAGCACCATGAGTCTGCTCTATGATTCTGCGATCTTCATAAGCCGTAAATATGCAGTAAATCCGCCGGAGGTAGCCGCTGTGTTTGTTTTTCATTAGCACCTTTGAGTTTTATGTTGCACGGTCCTCCATTTCCTGACGCCCAATTACGCCTTCCGTCGCTCTCATCCCGCCGGTATTCGCGCCTCCATGACAGAATGAGTTGGCTGCTGCCAAAATCGTCCCCATACGCCACGCTTAATGGAAATGTGACTTTTATCGGCCGCATTTCATCACGGGAACATCTGGACCACCCACGAGGCCCGGGTCCTCTGGTAGCCGGGATTTTCTGACAGGCCGGTAGCCGCACCCACCACACAGCTAGTCTAAATCGCTGGTACTCCCGTTAGTTTCCTAAATTCTACGCATGTGGTTTCTACGTCCATAAATTGAGTACTTTACAAACGAACGTAGGAATCAGCTCCGAGTCGTTTCATTATGCCAAACATTTCCTAAGATCACATGCGTTCAGTCACTGTGTAAATAACGAAATTAAATCGACTGATTGCCTTGTTGATGGAAATCAGCTGCACGAATGCTCATGTCGAGAGTTGGACGATAAATAGGGGCACATTGGCCTCCAGCTGACGGCTACATAGTAGCTGTGAAATATGTGTCTCTTCCAGAAGGCCAGCTACGTGAGTGGCTTGGCAATATACAGTCATATGCCAGATATATGCCCTATATGCCACTCCAGTGCGTGCCATCAAGTTGAAGCTGTAGTTGAATCGAGCTGAATGTTTTGAAATGAAGCGATGTTACCCGCAAAATACCACGACGATGAATGGTTATATCAAAACATTGAGGAAATCTTAGCGAAATATCTTCGGATCAAATCCAGTAAACGAAGCCATGGCTGTCTGATGTTTCTTTTTTCGCTTCTTTTCTTGGGAACAAAAACATGGAGCTTTCTTTACATATGTAGACATCCTAAAATAGTTTATATCATCTCTCCAAAGCCTGACAGATCCGTCTCCGGCCCTCCTCTATCCGTAACCATCCCACCAGCTGTCGGCCATCATCCCCCGGAGGTGCTTGTGACAATTCTGCCTCTCGAGCAGCGCCACTCTCATGTTTGTCGGAGACGAGCTACTGCGGCGATCCCCTGCGCCGTTCCGCGCCACATTGGCCGCTGCCGCTGCGGCCATCTCGGCGCAGCGGACACGTGCGGCGGCGCTGAGGGCGCGCCACTTTCGCCTCATATCAGCCGAGTTCGCACCCGGCTGGTTTATGCGCTCGTTGCCCGACGCCCGGTG